TACATTAATATTCCAAAAAGTGACTGTGATGAACTGGGTGCTGAGCTGCTTCCCCCATCAGCTCCTGTTAGGAAATCTGATCAATACAATCAGAGCTGGCTTTGAATTCTTGAGATTTGCCTTTGCTGGATCTTCTTTCTGATGAGCACCAATGTCTAAGACCCTGTGGCTGTCTTGGGAACATTAGCAGGGGAGATAAATTAGGCTCTTTGACATCATCTTGCTGATAAATATTTTCTTTTARGATTCTCAAAGGTCCTAATTAAAGAAGAGGGGAGGCTGTGACAGATGCTGTCATGTGAGGAGAGCTCTCCTCATGCCAGTGGCMCCAGTGAATATCTTGACAGGATCTTTTACACCCTGATTTTATATCTTCAGTGTTGGGGGGTTGAATATTAAGTAAAATAATAATTATACTTAAAATTTATATAACATAATATATCAATATAGCATAAATATAATAAAGAGTAATATAGCAGAAAGCAATAATGTAAATATTATTAATATATTAACACATAAATATATTAAATATATTTATATTAAATAGGATTTAATATAAGTATTAATAATTAAATATTAAACGTAATTTTTAAGTTTCTACAACCAGCTGGAGGTGCATTTGAGTTCATGCAATTTCTCATTGCTTTATCATACYTCATCATGAAAACAATTAACAAATACTTGGTACCTTGTTCTTTACAGCTTGGGTCTGTTTGGGTTTTTCCCCTGTTTTGAATCTTCTCTTGATTCATTCTTTGAAATACTCTGGTGGGACAATTTTGGCACTAAAAACTTTGAGCTTATACCAAACAATTTGATCAGTGAGGCCACAGTTCCTTCTCTATCCAGAATCACTGGGAGGCATGAAATGAATTTTGGTTTCACATCAATATTCCTTTATTGCTCCTCTTCTAGAAAAGTCTTTTTGAGCCCCAGCAGCACAGTGAGTAGTTGGTTTACACCTCCTGTGCTGCTACTCACCCCTAGCACCCGTCAGCATCAAAAAATAAACCTGGAAATCAGACCTGGTAGGTGATCCACTCACAGCRTTTTGATCCACTGCCTCCAAGTGTATTATTTGTTATGATCTAATGTTTTCTAGTCACACTTTGAGGAAAAGGATAAGCAGCACTGAAGTAAAGTGGAATTCTTGTTAGGACCTGCATTCTTTCCTAAAAAATCTTTTTGTTTGTAAGCCAGGAGTGGTCCCTGACAAGGCCTGCGCTCCCAGCCTGGTTTCATCCAGAAGAAAAAAGATGGACAGCTGTAAAAAGGAAGGGGTCAGAGAAATAGATGCATATTTAAATTGGAGACAATCCTTCACATTTGTCCAACCAAGCTCTTCACATTTCTTGGTAAAATTCTCTCCAYAGTATTTCCAAAAATTAAACCAAAAGGTGCAGGGCAGAGGAGCCTTGTGGTTGGGAATGGTGAAAAGAATGAGTTATGAGAATAACTCACTGGTGGTAAGTTAAAAATATACACAGTGGCACAAATATGTCTTTAAATGTCCTTTTTCAATGACACAATGCTTGTTAAGCCCAGGGCTCTGTTGGTTACACCAGGAGGTTAAATATATCCCTGGGATGTCAGGGCATTTATCCATCACGCCCTGAGTGGCTCCTGTTGGATAAGCAAGATGGATTTAACTCAAAATTTAAGTAAGTGAAATACAAGAAAATATTTTTTTTGCTTTTATTTTTTGTGATTGAAATGCAAAAGAGCATCTTTTTCTGCGCTGTATTTAGTTCAGAGCTGCTAAGCACATGCTGATTGATAAATTGGCTGTGGATAAATCTGGCCTGGTGTGTTAACCTGGCTCAGAGCTGCCAGGTCCCACCTAGGGCACAGTTCATGCTTCTGAAATATTTGTCCCCCAGAAAGTCAAGGTCATTTCTCAGAACTAAGTCAAAAGTTGGGCTTGATGGTCTTGGAGGTCTTTTCCAGCYTTAATGATTCTATGGTTTTATGAATATTCCCTCAGAAGTCAGAGTTAGRCAGACTATGTTCARTCTAACTTTCCATTTCATCRATAATCTTTTGGTTCTTAGCTCCCKTCTGTAATTTCCATGGRTTATTCCTGATTTTTTTCMGGCTCTGAGCTGTGCTGCTGAAGATCTGCCATGTTTCACACCACAGACAGCTGCATTTCAGAAGCAGAAAAAATGGTGTTGGCYTCCTACATGTAATTTTAGCCTTGTTCAGTGTCTTTCTAAATAACATTGAACTGCAGTGTAAAATGGTCTGGAAGGTGATGTTCCAGTAAAGCAGGGTGTATCACTGAGGGGGAAATTGTTTGCAGGAACTTCTGAGGTTGAGCTGGAAATGACAATAATCAATTCCATGTTCAATCAGGAAAGCTGGCCCTTCACTCCATTAAGCTTTGTTATTGATAATGAAGATGTTTTGCMTTCAATCAGTGGAGAAGCAGCATTTTGGAGGAGAACGAGCCTGTGAGTTATTTCTGGAACGCACACACGGAGGGTCAGCGTCAAAGAGCAGCAGGTTACACTGAGGTTGCTCTCCAGAGACTCCACCAATTTCTGGGCAATTTCAAAAGATGTTAAAGAACCTAAACAAACAGAAATCAGATTAAAAGGGGAAGGATTGCTTAGGAGAGCAAAGTGCAGAGTAATTGAAAGAGTCTTCCCTGCCCAAAGGAGAAAGGGAAGGGTCTGCAGCTCTGAGCAGAGGATAAAATACTTGGCAGTAGGGAATGAGATATGATATTACATCTGGATATAAATATGAACTTCTGGAAAGAGTTGAGGAAAAAGATGTCTCTGGAGGGCTCCTGACAATCATTTATTGAATTATGTGATCGAGTATTTGAAAAGGGATAGCTGTTGATATTGGTTTTGAAGGCAGCTCCGTGAAGAACGAAAGCCAACCCTATGTTGTCAGTCGAGTGATCACCTAAGAAGTCACGTCTGCCTTCATCACCCTGGTTCTCCTCCATACATTATGGCATTCCTGACCTTCCAAAATACCAGGGTTGCTCYCCTGTCACTTAATCTGTTTATCAACTCTTCCAGGACTTCCTTCACCAGGCGTGTTGGCTTTGTTGGGCTCCTTCCTTGCAAACACTCACTCTTCACCTGTTCCTGGGGCTGCATGTTCAGCTATGAAATGTTTCATAAGTGATAAAAATAATGGCAATGTGATTTGCATCCAGGTGAAAAAGCACTTCAGATGTGCTTATGGGGTGAAATTATAGATATGTTTGAACTAAAAATTTAGTTTGCAGCGTGGTCTTAATCCATTTCAAAGATTGTTGAATTTAGATGGTGTTTATTCAGGTACTTTATAGGAATGGAATTGGCTCTGTCCATTGAAATTCAATGTTATTATCAACTCTGATCATGTTTTTTCAATTGGAGTGTTCCCTTGGGTTTGCCTGGAGCTCCACCTCAGCCGAGCCCTGGTGAGGTCCAGCCAAGCTCTGGCATGTTTTGGGTTTCCTCAGGAGCACGGAGGTGCCCAGCTCCCTTTCCCTGATTTTGCTGAGAACAGGTGGCCTCCTCCAGGGTCACCAAGTATATTTAGGGCTGAAATTTGAGCGGGTTTGACCAGATTGGCTGTGCTGGCCCCACACGTCATCGGGAGCCRCTGGAGCCCCTCGCTCTCACCCAGTGCTGCTCAGGAGGGAAGACTGGAGAGCCTTTGCTCCAAAGGGTGTTTACTGGATGTCGCTGGTAAGAACATTTTAATTGAATTCCACTTCTTTTCCTTAGAAGGGGATCTTGAGCTGTTTCCCCATTGTGTGGTTTTTTGGGAGTAGCTGTCGTGCTTTGCCCATGGAAGGCAGGTTTTCTGTCTGGATAACCAACTGCAGATTGGAGGAGGAGGAGAGGACCTGGAATGGTTTTTTTGGAAGGGTAACCACAGGTTATAACAGTGAGAGGTTGAAGAAATTGTGTTTATATGCAAACCCCACTTCTCGAGTTCATTCACAGACTTGGCCTGCTTTTTCATATGACTTGTTGCTCATTACTTGAGTAATTCTTCATTTATTTTAATAGTTCACAATATGGTTTGTYCAATTCGATTTTTGGCCATTTTTCTCAGCCCATGGGGACTAAAAAGGGACAGTATTCCATGTTCCTATATTTAACCTGCATTACTTGACTTCCCTTGCCTCAGAAGGAATTGCAGTTTAGCCAGCTAAACACAACCGCCCCGTCAGTTGGCAGGATTAGCTTTCACGGCAAATATCCCTGGACTCAGGAGCAGCTGTTCCAAAGCCTCATCCCCTCCCAACATTAGAAACAGGGCTGCAGACTCCGGTGGAAAATTGTAGCTTTGCCTCACAGCAAAATCAGTGCGTTAATTAATTCGTTCAAAGGTTCTGACACTAATCTGCGCTTTGTACTTCAGCCAACTCTGTGGATTTTCATCTTTTCCAGGTCTGAAGAAATAGAGAGAAAAAAGCCACAAGAGCTTAAAAAGAAACCCCAGAGCATCTCCATAGGCTGATGCTGGGAAGACAGAAATTGCCTCATTAACCTAAGGTCACTTTAAAAGATATTTACAATATTTTCCTACATGATRCTTTTACATATGAATTAATATAGTAGAACATAAAGCTCCCATTCAAACAGGAGCTTGAACGATTTAATGAAATAACATAGAACAGAGAGAAGAAACATGCTTCAAATAATTCCGTTGTAATGAAAATGTCACATCATGTTTTAAGAGATCTTTTTATTTGCATTGGATTCCAGTTGGTGTTATAACTAGTGGAATGAAGGATTTGTTCAAAAATGTAATTTATATCAGCACGTTTGAAACTTAATCCAGTGTTTTTCCATAACAGTCCAAGCAATGCCAGATCCCCACTTTATTTAGGGTCTGGCTATTACTAACCATGACCCCAAGTGATTTAWGAGCTTGACTTGTACCTTCTCATGGCATTTTCAGTCTTGGCCTAATGCTGTTTGTTCCCATTTTCACCTGCTGYGTGACCAGTGAGTGGCGAGAGACAGAAGCAAACCCTCAGAATGGAGGAAGAAGAATATGAGGAAGTTGTGGAGGTAAGAAGAAAATGTGAGATTGGAAATGTTTGTTCCCTGCCTTGTGACTGAACAGATGAATCACCTTCCTGAGACTCTGCTCAGGAGCACAGGCTGCTGTTTGCTCTCTGCAGATTAGGGAATGATTGGGATCTATTAAATGGTTTAATCAGTAAAACAACAACAACAACAGCCACAACAACAACAGTTGCTCTCGGTGGAGCAAAGTCTCCTGGTTCCTGTCACCGTTTCCCAGTTTAAATAAGGACTGGACCCATCCCACACTGGCAGCGCGAGGTTTTCTGATTACTCCCTGCATAATTATAGATGCACTGGGCCAGCTCTTTTCCCTCCTGGCTTGCCCTCTGTCACCCAATCCATGGAGAAGATGACTTTGGAAGCCCCTCTCTAGCCCTGCCTCTGCAGAAATGCAGCAGGTTGGTGCCACCAGGGGACCACAAACCAATTTAGCCTGAGATGTTGCAGAGATGGAGCCAGGTTTAAATGACAAGGGGGTAGGAATTTAAACTGACAGGGGGTAGATTTAAATTCGATATTGGGAAGAAATCTTTCCCTTTGAGGGTGGGGAGGCCCTGCACAGATTGCCCCTTCCCTGGAAGTGTCCAAGGCCTGACTGGATGGGACTTGGAGAACCCTGTGGCAGGAGGTTGAATTAGAGGATCTCCAAGGTCCCTTCCAACCCAGGGGCATCCTGTGATTCCATAATTCTAATGTCCTTGGAAGTACATCACAGATTAAATTGTCAGTAGGTCATTTAAACTCACAATTAGATGCTGAATTATTTCATCTCAGGAGACTGAAAAAAAAAAAATTCCCCAGGAGCTGGGCAACCTCCAGTTGGAGCCACAGGAGCAATGACTGTGTTTTTCAAGCAGTACATGAAATTTACAGTGTGGTCTTACCAGTAACATTGTTGCTATTTTGAAATTAATGAAGGCTCTAGAAACTGGTAACATTGTTGCTATCCTGAAAGTAATCAGAAACTGGTAACATTGTTGCCACTCTGAAATTAATCACAAACTGGTAACATTGTTGCTCCTCTGAAATTAAATGATAGAAACTGGTAACATTGTTGCAAACATGAAATTAATGAGAGAACTGGTAACATTGTTGCCACTATGAAATTAAAGATGGACATTGGTAACATTGTTGCTAGTCTGAAATTAAGTGATGAAACTGGTAACATTGTAGCTACTCTGAAATTAATTGATGCGTTCTGGAATATACAAACCCGCTCTGTGTTTGGACTGCTGATCCCAAGGGATGTGAGGGCACCGCCAGCTTTATGTATTTCAAACAGGGAATGAAGAAAAGTGAAATGATTTGCCAGTCAGAATAGTTCAATGTGTTAAGGAAAATAAGCTTCACCACTCATAAATCCCGTTTTAAAGACATCCTACTATGTAGCTACAGACACCAAACCTTCATCAAGTTTTTATTACCACTTTATTTATAATTGCCTTTAYGCTTCCTGTGCGTTGCGTGCCCTCTGTAATAGATATTTATTTGCTGKTATTGTTTATTTATTCCAGCTGGAATGATGGTATTTTGGGCTTTTTGTTCACACAGCCCCATTTCATCTTTTGTTTTTGATTTTCAATGACCACCTTGCTGTACCCACATCCCTGCTTTAGTAGATTCCCTTGGGATACTCATGGTGAGATGTTAAACAAAAGATGAATTGCAGCATCTGGTACAATTTTAAGGCAGAATAAGACTTTTCAGAATTTTCTGAACTCCTGGATGAATCCAAGATTTTAAATGTACAAGTTCTATCAGAAATTCATCTTCTGAACGTGCAGAAAATGATCATTGAATATTGAACGGCTGAGGCAACAGCAAGGATTTTAAGATGCTATTTTTTTATGTTCTCTGGAATTATGAGCCATTATTGGCTGTAGTGGTTGTCTTGGGATGTCCAAAAATCCAGTGAATGGCACAAACTTTTGCCGCTGAGTTGCTTGAGGTGGAAGTTACTTTTGTGGAAGGTTTTGTCAAAAGTTTGTGGAAGATTTTGCAGGGGCGTTTGTGGAAGGTTTTGTGGAAATCTTGTAGAAAGTTTGTGAGAGGTTTTGTGGAAAGTTTTGTGGAAGGGTTTTGTGGGAATTGTTGTGCAAGGTTTTGCAGAAGGGTTTGTGGGAAGTTTTGTAGAAAGCTGGTGAAAGGTTTTGTGGAAAGTTTTGTGGGACGTTTGTTGAAGAGTTTTGTGGGAGCTTTTGCAGACGGGTTTGCGGGAATTTTTGGGGAAGGTTTTGCAAAAAGGTTTTGTGGAAAGTTTTGTGGAAGGCTTCGTAATAAGTTGGTTGGAAGGGTTTTTGTGGAAGGTGTTGTGGAGGTTTTCTGAAGGTTTGTTGAAAGTTTGTGGAAGGTTTTGTGGGAGTTTTTTGGAAGGTGTTGTGAAAGATGGGTCCAGCATAGTCTGGGCTAGGGAGCAGAAATCACCTCAAAACAGCCTAATATTTCACAGACTGAAAAATACAGGCTTGTCACATGAATTAACTTTGATGAAGAGCTCAGGAAAAGTGCCTTGAATTTTAACGAGAAATTTTTTAGGTTCAAAATATTTTCAATTCCCACGCTTTCRGTGAGCGACCCGGAGCAAACACCGCCGAGGAGACTTTTCCAGCATAAACCCCTCATTTTCCTCTTTCTCTTTGTGGAAGCGAAACACATCCCACACACAGTGGAGGGTTTTTTTATTTGTTTTGTTGGGTTTTTTTAATGTTTTTTCGCGTTATTTCCGAGCGGTTCCCTCAGCGCGGTCCCCTCAGCGCGGTCCCCTCAGCGCGGTCCCCTCAGAGCCGCCGCCATTTCCCGCGGGACGGCGCCGCCTCGCGGCCGAGGCCGGGAAATGGCGGACGAGGAATGAATTTTTCCCGAAATCCGACAAAAAACCTCCGCTGGCAAAACCAGAKGCTGTTTCCCATTGTCCTGTCTGTTATTCCTTGGAGCAGACCCCAGCCTGGCGGCTCCCTCCTATCAGGGAGTTGTGCAAAGCCAGAAGGGCCCCTCAGAGCCTCCTTTGCTCCAGGCCGAGCCCCTTCCCCAGATCCCTCAGGAATTCTCCAGCCTTTCCCAGCTCCCTCAGGAATTCTCCAGCCCCTTCCCAGCTCTTTCAGGGATTCTCCAGCCCTTCCCAGCTCTTTCAGGGATTCTCCAGCCCCTTCCCAGTTCTCTCAGGGATTCCTCAGCCCTTCCCCAGCTCCCTCAGAAGTTCTCCAGCTCTTCCCCAGCTCCCTTAGGAATTCCCCAGCTCCCTCAGAAGTTCTCCAGCCCCTTCCCATATCCCTCAGGATTTCCCCAGCCCCTTCCTCTCTCCTTCAAGGATTCTCCAGCCCTTCCCATCTCCTTTAAGGATTCTCCAGCCCTTCCCCAGCTCCCTAAGGGATTCTCCAGCCCTTCCCCGCTCCTTGAGGGATTCTCCAGACCTTCCCTGTTCTTTCAGGAGTTCTCCAGCCCTTTCCCAGCTCCCTCCGGGATTCTCCAGCCCTTTCACAGCTCCCTCCGGGATTCTCCAGCCCTTTCCCAGCTCCCTCAGGGATTCTCCAGCCCTTTCCTATCTCCTTCAAGGATTCTCCAGCCCCTTCCCACCTCTCTCAGGGATTCTCCAGCCCTTCCCAGTTCTTTCAGAAATTCCCCAGCCCCTTCCCAGCTCCCTCAGAAATTCTTCAGCCCTTCCCCGGCTCCCTCAGGATTTTCCCAGCCCTTCCCAACTCTCTCAATATTCTCCAGCCCTTTCCCAGCTCCCTCGGGATTTCCCCAGCGCCTTTCCTGCTCCCTCAAGATTCTCCAGCCCTTCCCATCTCCCTCAGGAATTCTCCAGCCCTTCCCATCTCCCTCAGGAATTCTCCAGCCCTTCCCATCTCCCTCAGAAATTCTCCAGCCCTTCCCAGGTCTCTCAGGGATTCTCCAGCCCTTCCCAGCTCTTTCAGGAATTCTCCAGCCCTTCCCCAGCTCCCTCAGCCGCTCCCACTGCTCCAGATCCTTTCCTAACTCTTTTGTCCTGGCTGGAAAAGATATTCCGCTGGATGTGGCGCTCACAAACAAGCCAGAACTGAAGGAAAATGCAAAGATCAAGGGCTGAAGTGACTGCRGGACGATGGAGCTGAAGATTCAGGGAGCAGTGAGTGAGATAAAGGGAATTACAATCCCAGATTTTGGAGGAGCAGGTTTGGGACTGTTTGGAGAAGATCCTGTAGGAAACAGCAGAGGGGCTCAGGGGAGCTGGGTCATTCTCCAGCAAAATTCCCCCCAAGCCTGAAGTGTGGAAAGCAAACTCAGAAAAATTCTGGTGTGGAGGAACACGGAGCTCCTGACTGAGCAAAATCACACAAAAAAAAGAAATGTCTTAAAGGTGGAAGGAGGAGCAGACAACTTGGGAGAAACATAAAGACTTAAAACATCACAAACTCCATTCCTACATCCATGGACAACGTTCAGCTGGATTTGGGCTTCAAGAGAGGCAAGAAAGGAGATCCAGGGAGCCACAGGCTGGTCAACCTCCCTTCATTCTTTGGGAAGGCTGTGGAGCAAATCCTTTGAGGWGCTATTTTTAAACACATGGAAAGCATGAAGGTCATGTGGAGAAGTGAGCACTGAGTTACCAAGGGCAAACCATGGCTGATGGACCTCATTAATTTTTATTATGAGTTCGCAGTGCTGCGGCCAAGGGGAGACCAGGGAAGGTTCAGCTCCTGGACTGCTTTAAGGACACCTCCCACTGTGGTTGTATCCCCAAATTTATGAGCTGTGGGCAGTAGAGTGAGTGGAAAATYAGCAGGCTCAGAGCTGTGATCATCAGTACAAAGTTTAACTGGCAGCCAGAAATTATTGGTGTACTCCAGGATGTGGAGGTAGGATCAGCTCTGAGGACAACAGTCCTGGGTATCACCAAATAAAACACCAGGAAAATCCTGGAGTTTAAATTCTGATTCTTTTAATGTGATCATCAATGTTTTTTGTCTTGTAAGTAAAATCAGATAACCATCCTTCATTAATTATTTTGATAATGATTAGTTGAGGATTACATAGAATAAAAATCCAGTCATTAATTCAAAAAGTGAACAGACATTCTGAATTACCAAATGACTCCATAAGCACCTGTGAACTACAGTCCCGTTTCTTCAGAAATGTTTTAAAACTGCTTCACAGAAGCTACAATTTGCTGATGTGGTCTAATAATAAATTTTCTCTTCTTTTAAAAGTACTACATTGAGGAGACAGTTATTGAGGAGGGTGAGCCACACGAGGTAAAGGTCCCTGTCATGCTGCATGCAGTGTATAAATGTATGTAATTAACATGTAACACTAAATTAGTAGCTATTTGTGTTCTGAGGTTTATTTTTTCACCTTAAATACACAATCAATTAATAACTGCTGCTTAATACATTATTTTTGCTGCAAGACTCTGCTCTGGGATGATCTACAGGACCAGTTTACATGTGTCAATTCTGTTGCCTTTACCTTGCATGATTTCACTGAAAAATTACAGTCTTGCAGATTTTTTTTTGTGTCACTGGTAAGAAATATTTGGGTCACTAAAGAGTGATTGCCATAATTTGAAATTCTACTTATAAAATAGATATAACCCAACTTGCTGCTGTGYTACCCTGAAATATCCTTTATAACATGGGCTTATGCAGAAATACGAGTTATTAAATGTTTAATTCTTGGTGCATTTTCAGGTCTGTCTCATATTGATGCAAATAACCCTCAGAAATCTGACCTTCATTTGTTCCTTTTTAAAGGCAATATTTTATAAAGCTAATGAATATGAAATAAAACCTGATATTTATTTGGGTGATTTTGGAGCATATTTTAAGGTTCTAAGAATTATTTTTAGATGTTTTTCGCTGGAATCTTAGTATTAGAAATCTTGCTTGCAGCATGACTATGTTGATAAACAAGTATGTAAAGCATTTRAATTGATTGGAAATGAATTCATACAGAGCAGAGGCAGCTGGAGCCCCACTCTCCCAGATCCTCTGGAGAATAATTCCATGAGTTTGTTGTAGGAACCAGCCAGACTGTTCATTCCCTGTGGGTTTTTTAGGGTGGGTGATGTACAGGGAGCATAATGGGTAATCCCAGTAGGAAAAGTGGCCCTGATTTTTTTTGTCTCCGTGTGGATCTGCATCCTTTCACCAGCTCAAGGAGGTGGAAAACGCTTCTCTTKATGAACTTTTACAGCTCTAAAACAAACGATCCTTTGTTTTTTTGTAATGCCCAGGTGGTGACTGAGATCACCGAGACCATTAGCACAGACTACTCKGGCCCTGAGACCACCAGCATCACCTACACAGAGGAGCACACCCCGCCCTCGGCGGAGGATGGAGCTGCTCCGGTCAGGAAGAAGACGATCCGGACYAAAGTGGACCCATCCAAATTTCTGACACCTTACCTGGAACACAGCAATAAAATGAAGGACCTATTCAGCGAGGTAGGTTGTCCCATGTCTCTTATTTCTTGAGCAAAACCGGCTTTAAAAGCGTTTTATAGGGATTGTTTGATTGTTATCTGACAAATAACTGTATTTTTCAATGCTAAGCATATGGAGAGAATATAATAATKATAACATTAATATAATTATTCAAACATTAATATAATTAAACATAATTAATATCATTAATACAATTAAATAGAAATMTTAATATAAAAATCTAGTCAGACCAGGCTAAAGTTAGAGATGGATTTTTTTCCTATTGTGTCAARTGGAATAAACTCAGTTAACTAAAATCAGCAGAAGTGCAAGTATAACTGAGTAATGCTAATTTGCATCATTACTGCCTAACTGYCCCAAATTCTTATCCTAACCAGATAAATATGGCAATAATTGCTGATATGGTTCTGCTAGAACTCTAGGATATGTCTTGATTGTTTTATCATCGTTTTCTTTCAGAACAAGTACAAAGAAAAATTCAGAAAAGAAAAAGGAAAGCCATATGCTTCCACAATCGATACCCCAGAAATTCGGAGGATCAAGAAAGTGCAAGACCAGCTCAGTGAGGTGGGTGACAACTGCATAAAAAAATAATATTTAGTGAGAAGTAAAGAGGCAAATTAAGTCTTGATTTAAAATGTTAGATAAGAAGTGATAATCCCAACCCCTATGCTGGTTTGCCATGGCAATGTGTCTGTGTTGGTTTGGGCACTGCAGCCAGTGTTTTCATGGGAATGGCCTGGGAATTGGAGCTACATTGGGGATCTCTCATTATCCAACATGGAAATGCTCTTAGAAAGAGCTCTGTGATTGCAGAAGGCACCAGCTCTGACTTGGATTCCATCTCTTGAAGCTCTCTCAAAGCTGCTTTTCTCCCTCAATTAATTCACAAAATCCATTTGCTTCCATGGGCTTTGTTTCTAGGTTCAWCCAGGTTCTGGGTGTATATAAAGTATCAAAATGTCAATATTCTCATTCTTTAGAAAGAGAAAACCATTTTGCTGTAGAGTCAATGAATTCTGTGCCCTGTCCYAGGTTAAATACCGCATGGCTGGGGAAGTTGCCAGAACCATTTGCCACGTGGATGAAAAGGCCAAGGATATAGAACATGCAAAGAAAGTGTCACAGCAAGTGAGCAAGGTGAGTGAATTCCAACTTGCCAACATCAGTGCATCCTGAGGTTTCTGATAAGARTCAAGTTTTGAGCTCAGGATGCTAAAGCAATGTTTATGCAGCACTTTAGAAGCACAGGGAGGGATAACAGAGAAGTTGGTAAGGCAAGTAAAAATATAATCTTAAATATTTCTATTTGCTCCATTCAAATGTCACTGCTCTGAGAATTTCACTTTAAAAAAAAACAAAAAAAAAAAACCATCTTTTGAGCAGGCAGTTTATTCACACAAGTAAATATTTCTGTAATGATAGAGTGACCACCTTGCTGATCTTTCCTTCCAGGTATTATATAAACAGAACTGGGAGGAGAATAAGGACAARTACCTGCTTCCCCCTGATGCTCCAGAGCTTGTGAATGCCATTAAAAACACAGCAATGTTCAGCAAGGTAAGGAAAAATATCCAAAAATCTAAGCAGATGAAGTGAAAGAAACTTTYRAASYCAGGAATGGRTTCATAATGAGCCTTCTGGCRTTTTCCTGGTTTTTAGAAACTCTACACTGAAGACTGGGATGCAGACAAAACACTGTTCTATCCCTACAATGACAGTCCAGAGCTCAGAAGGGTGGCACAGGCACAAAAGACTCTGAGTGATGTGAGTATGAAAGCAAATATTTGCATGTAGGTACCAAAAGCTGCTGGGTTATGGTGTGACTTGGGAGATGTCGTGAGCTTTGATGAGATATAAAAGCTTCACAATGGAACAGAAAATAAAAATGTCTAAGTGTGCACTCATGGCTCTGATAGAAGTGGTGTTTCATAGGAAAAGCTGTGCTTGATATTAGAGTACAAAGCAGAATATGTTATATATCTGTTGACAATTTGGTGCTTTGGATTAGGAATGAATAAAATAATTTATTAAATCAGTAAGAWGGCCTCAAGTACCTCTCCAAATGGAGAAACTCAGGGCTGTCCCAAAGTCCAGTTCACTGTTATAGGTCTGCATATCTCCCTCTTAACGGTGATGAGATAAGAAAGGAATTGGTGGGATTGTGAGATTTGCTGATATTTCATACAAAGAACTCTTCATTGGTGAATTCAGCTCTCACTTGAAGATTCCAGTGAATTTTGCAGATGTTCAGAAGTWGCCWGGGAATACTCAGATTGAAAGAGCTSCTGCCTCAGGGACTGTGGGCACAACTACCCTTGTTAATGTGATGCTCAAATAAATTTTTACTCCTTTCCTATTTCCAGATTGTCTACAAGAAGGGGCACGATGAGCGGAAAGCCAAATTCACCTCTCTGCCAGACCCCCCTGATGTGGAACAGGCCAAGAAGGTGACACGGCAGCTGAGTGATGTGAGTAGAACACGCTGCCCAAACCTCACTCCTGCAGGTAGAGAGGCAAAAAGGGAGGAAAAGGAAAGCAAAAGAAAAAGCATACAGGAAGAACCAGCTTTTGCTGGAGAAACTGGAACCGAGTTGCATAATCTTGAAAGGCAGAAGTAGGATTTTAACTCTATTCAGAGTTTAACTATTACTCTTTCCTAAAAAAAAAAAAAAATTATTTTATTGTGTATTGAAAACTATCTGCAGTTCAAGATTAGAGTTAGTATTCACTTATGGTGGAGGAACCACTGAGAAAATGGCACTGAACCTGTATGGAAGGTAAAATAATTAATTCAGAAAAAAATTTATTTGATCTTATTTTTCCATAGCTTAAAAGCTAAATTGTCATCCAGAAAATTTTGTAGCATGAAAAAAAACCAATCAGTATCACAGTTCTTTCAAATGAATAAAATAATAAGCTTTATGGGTATCTCCAAAACTATAAAATGCAGATATTTTAGGATTATTTTTGGCATATATGTTCTTTAGTAATGTTAAAAAGGCATTGGAGGARTTTTATTTTTTATGGTAAGTGACGCAACTGTGGCTGAAAACACACCTGGAACACTGAGTCAAAACTCAGACAGGTATTTTGTTGTTAGACAAACTCTTTAAGCATTTGATACTTGATTTCTGTAAGCTTGAATAAATCATAGAAATCACAAATTCCAGGTAATTGAAAGAGTTTGCTTATATCCAGTTCCAGCAGCAATACCAGTAAATTCTGATTTAATGGGCAATATCCCAATGTTATTTTGACCAGTGAGAAAACAGAACTAAAGAATATGTTAGAGATGATTTATTTATCTTTTTTTATGTAAGGGAAGGAACTAAGAGAAATGACTTAACAATGAAATGGTTTGGCCAAATCATATTTAAGGTGTTTTTGAATGTAACTACTAAAATAGCAATAAGGCACATGTAAAATGTGAAGCAGATTTAAAAAGACAGCTTTGAAAAATGGAGCTGTGTCTTGCGGGTGAAATTTTACTGTTTTGTTTCCTTCTAGATTATTTACCATGAGGACTATAAAAACAAAATCAAAGGCAAGTGGAGTCAAACTCCATGCTCTGACGTGGTAATTGCAAAAATGAATGCAGAAAATCTGAGTATGGTGAGTGAATCCTGCAGAAAATCTTCAACAGCTTTATCCTCCTCTGTGTTCATGTGGGAAATACTGATGGTGCATTTGTGGCACTGCTTTTTGCCTAAATAATCCACTTTGGTGTCTGATCTATAAGGATATAATACATTGCTGTCTGTCTCTGTTCCTAACAGAGGAAATACCAGGAAGACTTTGAAAACATGAAAGACCAAATCTACTTCATGCAGACTGAAACTCCAGAATACGAAGCCAACAAAAGAGCTTCAGAAAATGTCAGCAAGGTGAGGGACCTGTTTTCCACCTGTTCAGCCTGGGAACRGTTCTGAGGTCACACAAGTTTGTGCTCAAATTGTTTTGTCAAGATTTTTCATGGTGCTTTGCCACCATGAATGGTAAGTTAAATAACAGGGGCATTTTTCCTGGAAAGTTTAAGATTATAGCATAGAATGGATTTACATCACAGGATGGTTTGGATGGGAAAGGACCTCAAAGCCCACCCAGTGCCAACCCTGCCATGGGCAGGGACAGCTCCCACTGTCCCAGGGTGCTCCAAACCCTGTCCAGCCTTGCCCTGGACACTTTGGGATGGAGCTTGTCTGGGCAATCACACAGCATTTGGCTTTTAATCCTGATTTTTAAAAGCTCTCATTTTTTCTTTTTATTCTTTCCAGTACAAATACAAAGCAGACTATGAAAAGAAAAAAGCTGTTGCYGATTATAACGTGCTCCCTGCTACAGAGAACCCATTGCTGAAGCAATTGAAAACTGCAGGAAATATTCTGAGTGATGTGAGTATTATTGAAGTGCTGCTGCATCATTTCCAGTCATGTTCCAGAAACCAAAGCCATCATCTCTTCACAAGGCTTCTCCTTTGAAAGAGGTGTTTTTAGTTTTGTAGACCTKTGTTTGTCATGACATAGCAACAACCAGAACAATTCAGGTGAAAAATGRTTTCTCCACAGATGAGTGTAGCAACAGCAGTGGCATATGGATGGCTAATTGCCATATAGTTAATTTAGATCCTTGTGGATAATGGATCACAAGAGTACAGTTTTTTTTTTCCTTACTGTTTTAATGAATTTGAATTAATAAAGATAAAATATGTGTTGCTTTCACATATTTTTGTAAGATATCCTGGTTACTCACTGTGATGATCTTCCCAATCCTTCTCTTCTTGCTGTTTTATTTCTGTGGAAAGAGATTGAATATTTCTCAGTGTCAGAAGTTCAAAACCCAGTAGTCAGACCTTTATATCTCCCCTCACAAACCTATAAAACTTATTTTTAAAAATCAATGAGAAAATGGTGCCATCTGTTTCTCAGTCCTGTGGGAAAGCTTTTCTTTGGAACTGTTTTGCAGTTTTATTCTTGTCATTTTTAACATGGTGTGGGTGAGTTGCAGTGAAATTTCCTTCATGATCTGGTGTTCTTTGATTTGCAGAAATTATACAAAGAAGCCTATGAACAGTCCAAAGGAAACAAAATGAATTACTGTGAGACACCCAAGTTCCAGACTGATGCTGCTCTGAAGAACTTCAGTGATGTCAGTATTTCATTTGRGGTTYATCCTTCGGTACTGACCCTCTTGATTACTTTTGCTGCTCAACTCGTGCTTCTTTTGGCAGGTAAAATACAAAGATGCATATCAGAAGAATATTTTGGGGCACTACTTGGGCAGCTTTGAGGACCCCCATCACATCCACTGCATGAAGGTTGAAGCCATGAAGAGCGATGTAAGTGTGGCACTCGTTCTGTTTTCCCCATCACTCCTGCAGCTCAGAGGAAGCTCAGTTGTGGATCCTTACTGAATGCTTCTCTTGTTCCTAGAAAAATTATAAAGCAGATTATGAGGAGGAAAAGACCAAGTGCTACTTCCCTCAGACCATAACTCAAGAGTATGAAGCGATTAAGAAGTTGGAGCAATGTAAAGATGTGAGTAGAGCACAGCAATGGTGCATCACAGAATAAATAACTCAGTAACCCCTGTTAACATCAATGATTTTGAGCTTGGCCTCACTGCCATGAGATTTTTAAAAACTATCTTCATCTCTATTTTAGGGCCTTTTGTGACATCTAGTGATCAAAAAAGATATAGCACAATTCTTTCTATAACAAGCAAAATGCTAAAATTCGAGCAATAGTACCAAAATAAAGAATGAACCTCAAGCATTCACCTGCTTGAATCAAATTGTTTTTAAATTAATACTTTCAAAGTGCTTAATTCATTAATAAATTTATTGACTTTATCAACACTTGAAAAATACTTTATATGCATTTTCTACAAACGTTTTTGTATCTTCCGTCAGTACACCTACAAAAAGCATCCTGATCAAACAAAATTCACTTCAGTGACTGACTCTCCAGTACAGAAGCAAGCAGAGATCAATAGCAAACAGCTGAGTGATGTAAGTAAATTTTGAAAACACTCTGGCTTTACCAATTTCTACCCTGTGCCCACCTTCACTTCATCCTCCAGCTTTAAAAGCACTCCTGAAATAATTGTGTAGGTAAATGTGTGTATTCACAATTTTATTTCCATCAGAAAATAACCTAGAAATCAGATTTTTAAAGTAATTTTTTCAATTCACAGTCTATAAATTGGGCCGCTAATTTTTTAAAAAAAAATTTCTTTGCAGATATTGTATAAATCCAAAGGGGAAGAAATTATTCACAAGTATCACCTCCCTCCTGATGTGCCCCAATTCATCCAGGCTAGAGTTAACGCCTACAATATCAGTGATGTGAGTATATTTTGAATTTCAGCACCATGSTGCTCTCCACTGATAGTATCAATTTTATTGCTTTGAGATGTTAAGATTTTGGTGGCATTATCAGCCTTCCAGAAAAGAGATAAAAACTGACATCTCCCTTAACAGCCTTGGAATTTTAATAGTCTGGCCAGAGTGATAACAAAATATCAGCCAGGCTGCTTTCCCCAGTTCCTTTAAATCCCAATTTAAAGCTGAATTTAAAGCTAACAGGAAACAATTTCTGTATGTTCAGTCAAATGAAAAAGGGTTTTGCTTAAGCGAGGGCAAAAATGCCACTGATAGAGTTGTTCTAAACAATAATTGAAAACCAAAACAACTTAGGAGTTCATGATTATCTTTATAGTAGATTTATTTATTCTAACAGAACTGCAGTTTGTGTACAGGTTATCATTTTTTCCTTGAAATTACATGGACTAAACTGGCTATTTTGGTTCCTATAACTATAATAAATACATGGGCTCAAACTCTTTATCAGAATTGCTATTCCTGACACTACAAACTCTTCCCTTTCTTCTCTCCAAGGCTAACTACAAAGCAGACTGGAAGAAAACCATTGCCAAAGGCTATGATCTCAAACCAGATGCCATTCCAATTCTTGCTGCTAAAGCTTCTCGGAATATTGCAAGCGACGTAAGTGGGATTCACATCCAGTGGTTMCAAATGACTCCTCATTCCCCTCTTAAACATACCCAATTGAATATTGGGGTATTGAAATACTTGGTGGGGTTTTCAATATTTATTATTATTATTATTATTATTATTATTATTAGTATTATTATTAGTATTAGTATTATTACTATTATTACTATTATTATTATTATATTAATCAAAATCTGTCCCAGGGAGTTCCAAGCCTATGTCAGTGACAATGGTGAAGGGGGGACGTGTAGCTACATATGTAGGTTGAGATATACATCAGGTGTCAAGACAAGCTGAGAAATCCAAAAATTTTCTTTTTTTTTTTTTTTTAACCTAAATAATCCTGTGCTGTCGCAAAAATCCTTTATGAGGTTCTAGAATGAACTGCAGTCATTAATAATTTTTATTTATAATTAGTAATACTATTTCTTATTAATTTTAAGCCCATCCAAAGTGTGTTTTCTCTTTCCCAAGTGGATAAGGCTGTTCTCCATTTGTCTCTAGTTCAAGTACAAGGAATCCTATGAGAAAGACAAAGGCAAACAGGTCGGATACCGGAGCCTGCAGGATGATCCCAAACTTGTTCACTACATGAACGTGGCCAAAATCCAGTCAGATCGGGAATACAAGAAGGATTATGAAGTCACCAAGACCAAGTATCACACTCCTCTGGATATGTTCAGCGTGACAGCTGCCAAGAAAGCCCAGGAGGTGGTGACAAACACTGGCTAYAAGCAGCCAATTCACAATTACACCCTCCTGCCTGATGCTGTGAACCTGGAGCTCTCAAAGAATGTGATGCAGCTTCAGAGTGATGTAAGTGATCGTTTATCAGCTCCATTTTTAATTCTCATAATGTCTGYGTGACATCATTAACTTTTTTTAGGAAAAAAGTTAATTTATATAATCCAATATATACTATACTGAGTGAACAGTAGATTGGGATGTGACTGGTCTGGAACCATTTATTTTCCAAATATTATGAGAATTACATATTGCTTTTAAGTTCTAAGAAATTTATCTAGTTACCAACAACTTAATATCTCTCCATATTTGGCTTATTCACAGCAAATGAGCATGTTTTACTAATTCATGTATTTTTGTAGTCAGATTTTAATTACTGTGATTTTATTTCTCGTGTCAGAGATTGTAGGTTATGTACTAGGTCTAAAGTTAGTACTTTATCACACTTAAATTTTAATTAAATCTAAACTTCCTCTCAAAAATGAACAACTACGAGAAATTTTAAAGTCTTGTCCCTTTTATATATAGAAATGTAATTTTTCTTGCCTCACTATGTTTTTCTTGTATATTTTTAAAAAGAATCTGTACAAATCTGACTTCAATAACTGGCTGAGAGGAGTTGGCTGGGTCCCAATTCAGTCACTGGATGTAGAAAAGGCCAAGAAAGCCACAGAGATTCTCAGTGAGAAGAAATACCGGCAGCATCCTGACCAGCTGAAGTTCTCCATCCCCATGGATGCCATGGAACAAGTGCTGGCCAAGCAAAATGCCMAGACCATGAACAAGGTGGGAAATTGTTGGATTGACCCAGAATTTGGGTCTTTGTCTTGCGAAGTTGTAGGGTAAGGTGCATTGCCACTGAAATGATYAAAATTTCCAGTGGGTGTAGTGGTTCCTTGGCTAAAACTGGACACTGAGAGATCATGGAAACCTCAGCCTGCTCATAATGAGGATGTTTCATTTTCTCTTTATAAAGACTAAAGATTTCTTCTCAGATTTACAGTGCTTTAGCAAACTGTTTTTTCTGTAGGTAGTATTCACAATCAGCAAACCACAAAAACCCTGAAATTSTGTCAGTTTTGTACAAGTTTCCTTGGAAGTGGAGCTCTTTACACTTGTCCTAGTTATCCAGGACACCACTGATCCTTGTTCTGTGTTTGTCATGGAAAAAATGTCTGTGAAAATAAAAATTCTGCTTCCATTAAAGTAGTTAAGATCACAGACTGGAAACTTTAGCTTCAGTACTTTCTCATTATCAAAACATATTTGGCAAAATTCTCAAAATATTAAAGAAGGATGATAATGTTGCTCCTCAGCATCTCTATTTATGGAAGTTATTTCTGGTGCTAATAATATTTCTATTATTAAATCTATGACATATTTATGAAATAATATTTGTTGCAAATGAGGAGAACAAAACCAACCTCTTCTTTTGTAATTGCAGAGGCTCTCTATAATTTTAATTGTAATTCCTTTGTAATTGCAGAGGCTCTACACGGATAAATGGAACAAGGAGAAGACCAGCATTCATGTTATGCCAGACACCCCAGAAATTCTGCAGTGCAAAGTGAACCAGCTGACAATGAGTGATGTGAGTTGCTGTGCTTGTGGTGGGCATTCAGTGCCTCCTGCACAGGGCAAAAATCAATGTCATTTTAATGCCTTGTTTGAAAATATTTAACTTCAGAGTTCTGCCTTCRTGACACTTGCTCTCTTTCACATTTGAAATTAGAAACTTTACAAAGCTGGATGGGAAGAGGACAAAAAGAAGGGTTATGACTTGCAGCCAGATGCAATCCCAATAAAAGCAGCCAAGAGCTCCAGAGACATCGCGAGCGACGTGAGTTCACTTGGGTGATACCATTTCCTGAGTTTACTTGAACTGAATGACTAAACCTGAGATCTTGTGGTCTATTTTTCCAGGGATAAACCAAAGCTTGTCATTGCATATTTTTAATTGAAATTCTTGCTGTTCTCTCTCTTTTCAGTATAAATACAAACTGGCCTACGAGAAGGCCAAAGGGAAGCACATCGGCTTCCGCAGCCTGGAGGACGACCCCAAGCTGGTGCACTTCATGCAGGTGGCCAAGATGCAATCTGACAGGGAGTACAAAAAGGATTATGAGAAGGCCAAGACAAATTTCCACACTCCAGTTGATATGGTCAGTGTGGTGGCAGCCAAGAGAGCTCAGGAAGTGGCTACAAATGCAAACTACAAGAACTTGATCCACACCTACAATGTCCTGCCCGATGCTATGAGCATTGAGTTGGCCAAAAACATGATGCAGTTACAAAGTGATGTGAGTAAAAGCTGCTTCCACCTTTGCATTTGAATACAAAGGGGCTTAGTTTATGAGAAAATCCTTTTAGATAAATAGTAATATTTTCTTAGTGAAATTAGGTCAGGTATATACTAAAATGCAGTAAATGAAATGAGGTTTTTCAACAATTGCAGCCATTTTTTTCCTAGACTCTGAAATAGTAAATTAAAAAAAATTGAGCTTAGAAGTAAGCAATTTTATGAATTTTTACTCCTTACATGTCCCATCAGGCTYTTCAGGAGCAATAGTTATGTGCAGACCAAGACAGGAAAAGCTTCACTTTTCCTTAATACATTTTCTCTTATACTTCCAAATTTATAAACTATTTTATGTTTCATGTATTTTTTAATCTGCTTTCTGCCTGCAGAATCAATACAAAGCAGACTATGATGAATCTATGAAGGGTGTTGGATGGCTCCCACTGGGCTCCCTGGAAGCTGAGAAGAACAAAAAAGCCATGGAAATTGTTAGTGAGAAGAAATATCGCCAGCACCCAGACAAGCTGAAGTATTCYGTTCCTATGGATTCCATGAACATGGTCTTGGCTTTAAATAATGCCAAAATCATGGATGAGGTAAGAAAGTGCTCATCAAAATTCATTTAAGCTTAAGAAGTAGGAAAACATCTACATCTGATGTAATAATCCTGTTGTATGCAGAGCATTAGAAAATATAATTTTACTATGTAGCTAATGAAGGTGCTTTAAGTGCTAAAATAAAAGATAAATATGCCTCCCATGTTAGTAACACATCATTGTCAAGGCAGGTTGCATTTCAAGTAGGAAATGGTCTTTTCAGTGGTTTGATTTAATAAAACAGATGTTGAGGTCTTTATTTTTTCCATCTTTCCAGCACAAGTACAAACAAGCCTGGGAAGAAGACAAAAAGAAAGTTCACATCACCCCAGATATTCCACAGATCACTTTAGCAAAAGCAAATGCATTCAATTTAAGTGAAGTGAGTATTGCTTGTAAGGCTGTGACCTTGCTCTTATTTTTTGATTTGAAATAAGTGAGATGAGAGCAGGCAAAAACCTCACCTTGCTAACCTGTAGTAATTTCAMAAAACCTATTAATTTTCCTTTTCCCTGCTTTCTTCCCCAAAATAAGGTACCCAAAATTGCCAAGAAAAAGCCATGTTTATATTCAGATTGGGAAATGTTAATGCAGGTCATTAAATAATCTGCTAATAAAATAGTAGAGTTTGAGCACTATTCATGATTGGTACTGTACTTATTTTATTATTRATTATCTTATTTCCCCATGCACAAGGTTTTGGACTGGATTCAAAGTGTTTGTAGATAGCACCTGTTTTTTTTTGTAAAAGATGACATTTTGGTAGCCAATTCTTAATTCCGCATGTGCTAAATAAAGTTCTGTTTGTAATTGTGCACATCTGCATTGTAGACAGAAATAGGCATTTTAATATCTTTTTATTTTTTAAGATGACATTTTTGCAGATGTAGCTTTCCACCTAGATTTGTGCATGAGGAAAACGTGATTTTTTTTTTCTTTTTTAAAAGATGTTTCTTTTTCTTTTTGCAGAAAATGTACAGATCTTCGTTTGAAGAAACCAGGAAGAAAGGATACGATCTCAGGGCTGATGCTATTCCTGTCAAAGCTGCCAAAGCTTCCAGGGATATTGCCAGTGATGTAAGTTCTTGGGAGAAAAAATCATCAGGGACACTTCCCACTATCCCAGGGTGCTCCAGCCTGGCCTTGGACCCTTCCAGGGATTCAGGGGCAGCCACAGCTTCTCTGGAAATCTGTGCCAGGTCTTCCCCATCCTCACAAGGAAGAACTTTTTCCTTCATTTCAAATCTACAATAATGAAAGACTCTGTTTCTGTTCTTTTCCAGTATAAATACAAATTAGGGTATGAAAAGGACAAGGGAAAACTCGTTGGCTTCCGCAGCCTCCAGGAYGATCCCAAACTTGTCCATTGCATGCAAGTGGCCAAGATGCAGTCGGACAGGGAGTACAAGAAAGCCTATGAGACCAGCAAAACTCATTACCAGACACCTTCRGATGCCCTCAGCGTGGTGGCAGCCAAGGAGGCGCAGGACCGTGTGACCAACACCAACTACAAACGCCTGATCCACCAGTACATGCTCCTGCCAGATGCAATGAGTTTGGAGCTCTACAGAAACATGAATCAGATCCAAAGTGATGTAAGTTTTCTTTTTGTGGCTTTTGTTTGTCCATCATGGCTGCAGTTTGGAAAGAGAAGGATTGTTTATGAGCTGTCTTCTTTACGTGGCTTTTGTTTGTCTGTCATGGCTGCATTATGGGATTAACAGGATAAATTGTGTGAGCTGTTGTACATTGTAAACTTTGTTTTTGTGTCCTCTTGGGCAGAATGAGTACAAGCAGGATTACAAGGAGTGGTTCAAGGGGATTGGTTGGAGTCCCATTGGCTCTCTGGATGTGGAGAAATCCAAGAAAGCCACGGAGATTGCGAGYGATCGGAAGTACCGGCAGCACCCCAGCCAGTTCCCCTTCACCAAGCAGAATGATGCTATGGACCTGGTCCTTGCAAAGCAGAATGCAAATATCATGAACAAAGTGAGTATTTAGGGGAAAAGCCAGGCAGGCACTCACATGTAATCCATTCCAATAAACAGCCTGTATGCCTCTGTCACACCTTTATGTAGCAGTGTTTCCTGGGAAAAACAACTGTCACAGACTGCTCTTTTATCTTTTTTAATCTTCTTTCCTAGTGAAACAATTATTGATGAACAGGATTGGTTAAAGAAATACTTTCTGAATTTTCTCCAACCTCTATTCTTCCCGTTCTTATATAGAAATGACTGGTCCTGAAAATCTTGATAGTTGGGTTTTGTTAGAAGCAAGACCAAACAATAATTGAGCTGATTCTGGATTAGGTCATTACACAGTAAAATAAATCATAGTCAGGACCTTCACCTTTTTAGTCATCCATACCCAAAGTACACAACTAGAAAGATGAAAATCCTGAAAGAACCATCTTTTGGCATTGTTAATACATCTGATGTGACTTTCTGTGAYTTTCTGTCCACAGCATGCTTATACTCAAGCCTGGGAGAAGGATAAAACTCAGGTCCATGTGATGCCAGACACACCAGATATTCTCCAGGCCAAACAGAACAAGACAAATTACAGTCAGGTAGAGTATTTTAATACTTATTATCAATGCTTCAAATTATTATCTGTTGGGGATTTAGAACAGGCAAGAATTTCATGTGAGTTATATTTTCAGAGTAAGTACCAGCTTCAGGCTAGCAAACTCAGATACTAAATTGCATTATAATATATGGAAAATACAAGTCTTGCTTTTGAAATCTGGAAGGGCATAGTCCATAATCTATGCTTAGCAAGAAATAAGTCATATTAAAAATCCTTTACTATAAAATTACTAGTTAATTGTGTATATTTTTAACTTAACCTATGGGAAAAAACAGATGCAACGATTCTAGCTTTTCTCTCAGCTTTCAGGTAGGAGCATGTGAAAATTGTGCCAGTAAAAAAGACTCAAGTTTTGCTTTGCATCATTGCTCAAATCCTTGACTTAAGGACCCATACTTAAAATCAACTGTGCACAAACTGTTAAATGGCTTCATGAAAGCCTTATTTAATAAAATTTTGCTAACCCAATCAAAAAGTGTTCCTTTATCTCAGATGTATGTATTTTGAATTCTCCAGATATGTTTCAAATCAAGATAAGCTGTAGTAGGAAGCTGCTGTAGTAGCAAAAAACTCTTTAGCTCCAAGACCAAGCCCTGAAAGACTGGCATTCCTTGTTTATCAGCATCCCATTTCTCAGTTCCCATTCCAACAGCTCTTCTCTCATAACTGAAGCCTGTGAGGTGACCAGAATTTGGTGATACGGATCATTAGTGTGTCTAAATAGCAGGTGACATATGTATTACTGGTTTTAATTAATACTGTTTTCAATTCTAGAAACTCTACAAGCTTGACTGGCAGGAAATGATAAAGAAAGGCTATGACCTCACACCTGAAGCCATGTCAGTGAAAGCTGCCAAAGCTTCGAGGGACATTGCAAGTGATGTAAGCAGCATTTTAACTCAATGTGACATACATTGATGTGCCTGTTATAACCTACAGTCACACTAAACTGAAATACATCTCTCTGCTGTGGCTTGGAGTCAAAACCAGCATTGCTAACAAATTCCTTCCTGAGCTGTTTTTGTCAAATTTAACAAGGGTTTCTCCGGCATCTTAACAAGTCCAAAGTTTGTGGTCCATCCATGACATGGCTGATCATACAAAGGAGTTGTCTGCTCTTTTGGATGCTTTGTTTTCAGAGCAGCAGCAAATTTGGTCCAATTAGCTGAGCTCAGTGCCTATGCAGAGAAATCCTCWTTACAGCTCTGAAACAGGTGTGGTGACACATGGACTGCTGTTGCCATAACTTGGAACTAGACAGCCCCTGCATTTGTGGAAGGGATTTTATTAATCATTAGAAAATGCTTCTTATGCTTAAGTTTCTTCATAATWCATTGTTATTCATTGCTGATGATGTTATTCATCAGAATATTTTGGTGTGTCCTTGTTAGGGAATTCTGAACAGTGTGAGGGTGTGAATCAGATGGCACAGGAGACCATTCCTATGACCATGCTCTTCTTCTTTCCAAGGATTCTTTCTTTCCCAGGAGGAGCATCCACTGGCACTGAGCGATGCACACTAATCAAGAGGTTACTAAAACTTTACATGAGATACCATAACAAGTTGCTTTTTTATRGAATCAYAGAATCACAAAATGRTTTAGGTGGAAAGGGACTTTAAGGATTATTCAGTTCCACCCTTGCTGTGGGCAGGRRCACMTYCCACTAGACCAGGTTGCTCCAAGCCCTGGCCCTGGACATTTTCAGGGGTAATTTCACTGGGAATATATTGATATTTTCCCCTTGTCTGTTTTTACTGTGATTTGAGTGGTGCCATTTTTGCCATTCCAGTTCAAGTACAAAGAGGGATACCGCAAGCAGCAGGGACAYCACATCGGATTCCGCAGCTTGCAGGATGATCCCAAGATGCTCTGGTCCATGCAAGTAGCTAAAATGCAGAGTGAGAGGGAGTACAAGAAAGACTTTGAAAAGTGGAAGACCAAGTTCAATATGCCTGTGGACATGCTGGGCTTCCTTCTGGCTAAGAAATGTCAGGAGCTGGTCAGTGATGTGGACTACAAACGGATACTGCACCGCTGGACGTGTCTGCCTGACCAAGTCGATGTCACCGAGGCAAAAAGGGTCAACGAACTGCAGAGTGATGTAAGTCCCTCTGGCTTTAATTTGCTTATTTCCACAGAAAATAATTTCTGCTTTTTGGAAAGTATCTTTGATGACTGTTTTGGTGTCAGATTGGAGCTAAACTGCCAGTTAGTCTTTTCATAATGTTTAATCAATGCACAGTGAAATAATCTCCAATGGTTTTGATTTGCATCCTTAACAGAACCTGTATAAGTCAGATCTACAATGGCTCAGAGGCATTGGATGGAGTCCTTTGGGATCTCTGGAATCTGAGAAGAACAAGAAAGCTTCTGAAATCCTCAGTGAGAAGAAGTACAGGCAGCACCCAGACACTATYAAGTTCACAAGTATCCCAGATGCCATGGATATTGTTTTGGCAAAATCTAACGCCAAAAACAGGAGTGATGTAAGTTGTATCTAGAGACAGAACATGGGATTCAATCAGTGAATACATTAATATACATTTTYAAAAGGATTCCTGTATCAGAACATRYACTTAAAATTACAAATAGCAGGTGTTTAGTCACAGCCTCCCTGCTCATTGTCACTGTGCCTTGTTCAGAATAAGGTTTTGAGTGTTGATAACTTAGTAGTTACTGCAAATAAGACCTTTAAAAAGTAGTGTGTAAATATATTGCCTTAATGCTGTTTCCTTGGCATTACATGGATGTAAGAAGAAAGGAAGGTTGCATTTCAGCAGTCATTGTATTTTTTGATTTAAGTCTCTTTTGTTGTCAACATCCCTCCTGCTTGCTTAGCAAATGCAGAGAAAAGATGAAATTACTGAAATAACTGCTGTGCTGGTGAATTGGATCAGACCAGGCTTTTGTTTGTGTCTCTTTCAGATACTCTACAGGGAAGCTTGGAACAAGGACAAGACTCAGATTCACATCATGCCCGATACTCCTGAAATTTTACTGGCTAAATCAAACTTGATTAACACAAGTGATGTAAGTTTGCATTTGAAACCAGGTTTAGAGAATCATGGGTTTGTATTCCTTACCTCTGTAGAAGGCTCTGTGAATCATTCAGATTAATATATTTGCTAAGAGTAAATTTTGATCCTGAATCAGATAACCAGAAAACATTCAGATAGTAATTTTTAAATATATTCTGTCAAATGTTACAAAGTAYGTGTCATTAATAGCAAGGTATGGAGTTTAATTAATTAAACTGTGTTCAGAAACCCATGCTCTATTGAAAATAGTCAGAGGTGGAAAGTTGTAGCATTGAAAAAATCTCTGGAGAGCTTTATTTGCATTAATTCCTTTGAATCCTTCTCCAACAGAAACGTTACAAGGTAGGATTTGAAGAGCTGAAGAAGAAGGGCTATGACCTTCCTCCTGATGCCATTCCCCTGCAGGCAGCCAAGGCATCCCGAGACATAGCCAGTGAGGTGGGTGTAGCAGAGGGAAAAATAACAGTGGGGCACAGAGGGGGCTCAAACTTGTGGATAAAAATTTATATTTAACAGGAGGAGAGATCTAAAATGTTAACACCATTATGTTGCTACCCACCTCAAAGCTTGTGTAATTCACARTGATGTAAAGTTAATTAAACAAAATACAATAATTTAAAGATGACACTAAATAACTACAAGAAATCCAGTAATATCTCCTGGATGTTATAAGAAATGCTAAAAATGGTGTGAAAATAAACAAGCAAATTAAAATAAGTTAGCTGCATGATTAACCACTGTGTTAARAAGAGGGAAGCTGAAATGGCAGCTGGGAAAGAGGTGGTAATTGTTGTTTCTTTGTTCAAATAGTACAAATACAAAACTGCGTACAGAAAACAGCTGGGCCACCACATYGGRGCCAGRAACATCGAGGATGATCCCAAGATGATGTGGTCGATGCACGTGGCCAARATCCAGAGTGACAGAGARTACAAGAAGGACTTTGAGAAGTCTAAGACCCGTTTCAGCAGTCCTGTGGACATGCTGGGAGTGGTGYTGGCCAAGAAATGCCAGGAGCTGGTCAGTGATGCCGATTACCGRCACCCTCTGCACCGCTGGACCTGCCTGCCKGACCAGAACGATGTTGTGCATGCCAGGACGGTGTAYGACCTGCAGAGTGATGTGAGTTGYTCTTTACTGGCTGTTACCTGTCCTGTGTTCTGTTTTAATTTTGAAGGAGAGGTCTGTGTGGCAGGGGAAGGGCAATGCAGCTGGCAAAGACAAGCCCTGGGTGCAGTGGAGGAAGGGTATGAAGARAAGGGTGTCTCTCTACCTTAGGAGATGGGTGCAATCACCCAATGGYGGCTGAATGGCTGGCCCAGGGGATCATGTTCCATTCAGGAGAATGTCCAGTGGTAGGAGATGGGGTTGCTTGGAGTGAGGAGGTTGYTGAGCYRTTTGTRTCTTYCCTATTTTTCCAGAAYGTGTACAAGTCTGACCTGCAGTGGCTGAGGGGCATTGGTTGGTCCCCAATTGGGTCACTGGACAATGAAAAGAACAAGAGRGCRACCCAGATCCTGAGTGACAAGAAATATCGGCAGCACCCGGACACCATCAAATTCACAAGCCTGCCTGACTCGATGCCCATGGTGCTGGCAAAGCACAACTCCAAAATCATGGACCAAGTGAGATT